GGGGGGGGGGATTGGAGAAAAAGGTTCTGGGCAGTTATTACCCTAATGCAGAGAATGCATTAAGGTAAAACATTCCCAGACCTTAATACTACTTTAAATGAAGGTTTACAAAAATTCTGCTGGTATATGGCCAACCTTTTACCTCAAACAAGTATGGCGATCAGGAGGGTCAGGATGAAGTCAGAAGACCCTATCTGCATACCTGACTCCATAAACTGAAGCAAAACGGCCTGAATGTCAGCCATGCAGAGGAGAGTGGTGGTCACAATTCGGAGCAGGCTTGGGTGAACTCAGCCCAACTGGGTTTGCACCAAGCCCAGGCTCATCTCTAATAGCTACCTGCCCCAGACCTGTGATCAAAGCATCTTCCAGAACCAGCTTCCTTCACCGCTATAAGATATCATTTAAGCAAATACCAAGAGCCGCAAAGCACGATGATGCTGGAAGATGCGGTGATCATAAATATAAATAGGTGTTACCATGCCCACCAACCAATGTGACATCAAGTCACACATTCCCCTTCACATCATTCATTTTTTTTCTAGTTAGTGACCAATGTAGGGTGCATTCACACCAAAATCGGAAGATCGCAAGTCAACGGAGGGTCTGTTGACTTGCAATTGTACTTTCCGATCTGTTGTGTTGTGATCCATTTTTTAATGGATGCTAACGGGAGGGCACCGAAAAAAGGATTGGGTGTGCATGGGGCTAGTTCACTGAAGAAAGTAGTGCATTTTCAATTTTTTTTCAGCTCAACGTAACTGAGTGGTGTGAACTAGCCCCATTCACACCCATTCATTTTTTGTGCCTTTCCGTTAGAAGCCATTGAAAAACAGATTGCAACGCAACAGAACCGGTGGGAATGGGCCCTTAATGATGTTTCTGCCACTCACCTCATGGCTACATGCACATTTAAAACGATCAATGCCCAAAGTGGTGACAATTGTGCTATACGGAATAGCATGCCATATGACTGAATTGGAGGCAACAAAGATTTCCAACCTCCTAGAGAATCTCCTAAATCCGTAGTTCTCAACTGATGGGTCACAACCCAAGAGTGGGGGGCAACCCCATGTTTATTGCATCACCGCACGCCTTCCACTGCCCAAACTGGAGCCCAGGCTTAGGATCCACTCCAGTTCTGGTAAGGTAGGTGAACTGGGTGGATCTTTAAAAAAAAAAAAATACATTTTGTTTGGGTGTATGCGTGTGCGAGATTGTGTCTGTGGTTGTGTGTGTCTGTCAGTGTTGAGGACCCGTTCACACTAGTACAGTGCACCAATCGTACAGACCCGGGCGATTAACGCACTGTACCGGGCAATTGCACCTACAGGGCATTCTGGAGCAGGAGGTGCGTTGCATTGTCATTTCTTTGAACGGCACCCCAAACACACAGTTCAATCGCCCGCACCGGAATGTACCGCAGTGCCATGAGTTCCAGTGCGGTGCGACTTGGGTCACGGCTTAATGACCAAAGACAAATGTGAGCCCTCAGGTTACACTGGTTGAGAACCACTTTCCTAAAAGACACTACGTAAAAAAAGGTAACACTGTAACAAACCGCAAGCAACAAAACATTACCACCTGGCTCTCTCTACCTGCTTCAAGTATGGGCAGCTCTAGTGGTCACCTCTATGTTCTGACCCACCAATCAACAACCACGTCCTATGCTGTAATGACATACATAACTTCTCCCCCCCCGCTGTCCTCCCACAGGTCCTTGAGGCTGGGTTCACACCTAGGCGTATCGAATATGCGCGTTTTTACCGCGATTCTCTGTAAAAACCGCATGACAAAACGCGCGTTTCCGAGGGCTACCTGGCTGTAGCCCAATAGATACGCGCGGCAAATATGCCCCAAAGAAGCTCCTGTACTTCTTTGGGCGTAAGGCGTTTTGTAGCGCGTTCATACGGCCTGTAATATGCCCAGGTGTGAACCATACCCATAGGAAATAATGGGATTTCGGTATTTGATCGCTTTGCAGAGCGTAGGGACGCGCTACAAAATGCCCAGGTGTGAACCGGGTCTGAAGGATAGGATAGACAATGAAGTTCAAAAAATAACGTCCATTTATTCGGACCAAACGTCACACATATCTCATATTCCAACGTTTCGGGACCGTGCAGGGTCCCTTCATCAGGGCAGATGCCCAGGTGGTGGCATGAGACGTGGCATGAGACGTGGCATGAGATTTGACCCAGGTCTTTTTACCTGAATGGAAAGGATTCTCCTGATGGGATAATGACGTTACAGGAGGAGAATAGAACGTCATTCTCGTATAGCTGAGGGGGTGGAGTCACACAAAACAGGGAAAACTAAGTAAAAAAAAAAAGGTTTTGTTTATAAAAAAGCAAACCTTCTATTATAATGG